AAACCACTAACCTCCATGCAGAGCCGTATCTCTCATCTTCCCCAACAAACAACAACTCCGTATCTGTGGGCCCACGGATTGGAAAGCGGGCTGCACCGGGGGAAGCTAATGCTGAGGCTAACTTTTCCACATCTTCACACGGAGTCGTTGTATGACCACCACAAGGTTTCTTCCAACCTTAACCGGCATGTGCAAACAGACCACGGGCAGGAATGCGCAAAACGTGTCCGAGCTATCGGAGGCGACTTAGAGCATTCTTCTCCTCAAGAGAAGGAGTATCAGTATCCAACACACGATGACGTGGAGGACGACTAACCTCACCATTATTCACCCAATGTTCCCACTCTGCATGAGCGATGCTTCGACGACTTCCAGTGGTCGGATTTGCCCGACTATGCCAGCTCTTCTTCCCATAGTTTGAACAAAGTCGGTTGGCCCTCACACTGATGAGGAAGAGGGCTTCCCATTAGTCCTCTTATTAAAATTCGTTTTCCACTGGGTGGGATGGTGTGCATAGACAACAGCACACACACCGTGTGACATACGAACCAAACTTGGATGATACTGCGAACACATGTACATGATATCACATATCACTCACTTGGGTTGCAGTGTCATTTTGGGGATTCGCTTGTCTCAGTGAACCAGTAACACCGAACTGCGATAATGCACTCTGGTGTAAGATGTCGTCCATATCTCCGCGGTTTACATTCTGCGACGCTAGCACACATGACGGCCTCGATCAAGGCTGCGTGTAGAGTCCGACGATTAAACACCATGAGCGAAATGATTACATAATGGTGACTGCATGGTATGTTTGGATGTCTATATGAACGACAAATTTATGGGTTGCTTGGCTTTTCAAGCTTGAGTGATTTATGCATATCCGCCAGAATAACTGTATCTTGAGAAATCCGATCTGTTGTAGTGCACTTTTGCTTGGCATAGCCGTGTGCTCCATTTCAAAATATCGGTTAATCTTTTAATTGCTTTCAGGTCTTGAAGCAATTTCGGGATGATGAAATTGAACACCATGACACCGGATTGAAACACGAAGCGGAATTGGTTAGTTCCTCGTGGCTCTGGTGCACTTGTTTGTTCATTTTTCTGCCACATTGCTCCACTTGGTGTTATAAATCCACAAGGCAGTGCCGGGATGAGAATTATTTATTTGGGGTTAAATAAGGTTGCATAGAAAGAAAAATCTAATTTGCCACAATTTATTGGCACTTTCGTGACCATCTCTTCATCGGTCATCGTCTGTCGATAGCCTGTCTCGTCTGTAGTTGCAAAAGTAAGTCCTTCAATCCACTTTCGGATTCCGCGAGAACCTAATAACCGCTTCTCACAAGTGTGAGTAGTACCTCACACCAGTAGTAGCGTCGCTGTTATTTCATCAGAGTCGACTTATTTCCTGTTCAAACTAAATTTACTTAGACTCTTTTTCGGGCATGCCATGAGATCGTTATTAGGAATAATATTTGTATCATACCATGATACGAACTTCACTGATGACTGTCAGTTGGAATTTTTTGACGATCGAAGTGAGTTACAGGTTTTTGAAGCCTAGTATAAAAGTACCAACACATGAATTTTGAGGGCACGGTTCCCATCCATTGTTTTTCATCTCACACTTCGCCGATGTCTTTGCGTAGAACTTTGGCTACATCCCGAAAACCAAAGATCGATTAACTATGATACAAACGGCTGGATCGGTCGGAGTAGGTTTTTTCACGGTTGGCGGTGATACAACGGAATCCCGCTCCGATTTCCTCACTACTCCAATCCTTCGATGAATGGACACGCGAACGTTATCGGCCTAAGGTCGACCGAAAATCGGTTTTCCTGGGCTCATGATT